GGCGCTTCCATCTTAACTTCCCTTATATCCCATTCATTTAGGGTAAATATCAAATCAAGCATTGCTGGTTCATCTTCTCCTCTCATTCTTGTTGGTTCTTTGGTGTGCTGGCTTAGAAAGTTTCTTGTTGGCACGTCCAGCAGCTTAGCTCTCCATGTTTCTGGTCCTCCATGTGGGGTCTCTGTTCTTCCAATCTATCTTCCCATGGTTGAAGTCTCCCATAATTAGTAGTCCAGATCCATTCCTGCTAGCAACAGAAGCTGCTCTTTCTATTATGTTAATGGTGGCCATGTTGTTTCTATCATATTCCTGTCTAGGTCTTCTGTCATTTGGTGGTGGATTATATATGACTGCGACTATAATTTTTTTCCCTCCATTTGTTACAGTACCTGCTATGTAGTCACTGAAACCTTCGCAGCCCTGAATATCCATCTCCTCAAAATCCCAGCCTTGTCTTACCAGCAGAGCTACACCACCCCCACCTCTTCCTTCCCTCTCTTTCCTCATAACATAATAGTCCTGTGGGAACACTGCATTTGTTATCGTTTTCGTGATCTTTGTTTCTGTGAGGGCTATTATGTCTGGGTTTTCCTCTAGTACCAGTTCTCCAAGCTCATTTGCCTTATTTGTAATTCCACGCGCGCATGTGTGTGTGTGTGTGTGTGTAAATCACGAAAATTAACAGTGATGAAAAATGTGACAGTGTCAGAAAACGGAGGAAGAAGTGAAACAGGAATTTCCTTAAGTACCTTCCTATTTAATAATACATCTTCAGAAGGGTGAAGATGTATTATTAAAAACGAAAGTACTTTAGGAAATTCCTGTTTCAATTTTTCCTTTGTGGTCTTACACTGTCATATATATATATATATATATATATATATATATATATATATAATATATATATATATATATATATATATATATATATATATATATATATATTATGTCGAGAAAAATAGGTGGTATTGCAGTGTCTCTAGGCAGATGGAATGCCAGTCACATAAAACAAAAACAAAAGTAAGAAAAAGGAAAAAAAAGTTAAACTGCAAGTTGTCTTCACGGTGAGGTAACTGTAGGATAAGACAGATGGATAAAACATTTAAAAATACTTTACTTTGATAAAAAACTGAAATTAAACAAATTACAAAACATAAAATAATATCTAGGCTTGGCTCTAATACAAAGAGTGCAAAACAAACAAGATGAACAATCAAATTTACGTTACGTTAATGTGCAAATAAAATATGGTGCTAGAATACTGTGAGCCAAACTGAATAACTCTGTTACCACACCGGGGTATTTCAACAGGTCTACTCAGTAGAGCACTCAGGAGTAATCTGAATCGTAGTGGGCTAGGTAGCCCTATATATATATATATATATATATATATATATATATATATATATGACGACGGCCGTGCAGGTGGCGCTGGTAGTCATGAGTAACTATGAACCGGCTCACTTTAACTGCTCGTTTGAGATGGCTGAGCTCCCGGCGAGCGACCAGGTGAGGTGGGGTGACAGGCCGTGGTGTAGGGGGGATACTGGTGGTACTGTCTAGACGTCTGGAAAGTAGCTGTTGTGGCTGCAGTTCTTGAATATATATACGTGATATGATAGAATTGGTGATGATAGAGCAGGCCGAATCTCTTCCTAGTGAGATTACCGTGACAGCTCTCCCCTGACGCCTGCTCCTATTGCCTATTCGACTGCAGCGGAGTGTAGAATAGGAGTGAATCCACCTCGTGGACTCGTGAAAGTGCGTCGGGGACGACGTTGTCGGGGCCTTTGATAAAGTAGATGATAATGTTGAAGTTCTGGAGGTACAGTGCCCAGCGTAGCAGACGTTGGTTAGAGAACTGGGCCTGTTGCAGAAACTGAAGAGAATGGTGCTTGTAGAAGATGTTGAGGTAACACTGCAGGACTCTGTACAGTATGAATCGAGCCTGCTGAATGGATCAGCGAGAATGGTGATCCAAGGAGATGGTGAGATGGTTCGTCTGATGCAAGGCCCAGTGTAGCAAGTGCTGATGGGAGAACTGCACTAGCAGTATGAACCGAAGGAGATTGTGATACATGATGTTCACATGGTTATCTTGAGATGATTTCGGGGCTTTAGTGTCCCCGCAGCCCAGTTCTCGACCACGCCTTCACCCCCAGGAAGCAGCCCGTGACAGCTGACTAACACCCAGGTACCTATTTTACTGCTAGGTAACAGGGGCATAGGGTGAAAGAAACTCTGCCAATTGTTTGTCGCCGGCGCCCGGGATCGATCCCGGGACCACAGGATCACTAGTCCAGTGTGCTGTCCGCTGGACCGACCGGCTCCCCATGGTGATGCAGGATTCAGCGAAGTTTGGAGAACCGATCCTGATGTAGGGACCGAAGAATGTTGAAGCCCGAGGAGAGGTGTACACATACACATACAGATATGACTATGTGGTACCATGACCACTGCACCAGCGATGTGATCGTCTATAAATGTTAGTTGGTCAAGGAACGTATCTACACAAGTTTCATGACCAACCAAAACCCGGCGACACTCGTGGCGCGTTATGGACTCTTTCGTGAGTTAAGCTTTTTGTGTACTTTTGTGAGTTAAGCTTGAATGACCTCCTTACATGGGGAGGGTTCATAGTTGTCATAGAAGCATAGTCACGGAATAGTGTTACTGTTTTGAGAAAGCTATAGTTTCTTTGTCCACGATATGGCTGACCCAGCTGGATTGTTTGTTTAATTTAATAGGGCTTGTCTCGGGGCCTGGGGCTACACTGGTATTCCGTACTTAGATGTGTTCTGAAAAGCTATAGTCGTGTATACCTTCTGGCTCAGCTAAATGTTCAGGTAGAATTTCCTTGAACAGATCATCAGATGCAAAGGAGGAAGATACGAAGGCTTGAACAGCAATCTGAGTGGCAGTGCGGACATCAAGGCCACGGAGTTTGACAGAAAGAGTGGCGTCTTTCCATTGAAAGTCACTGAAAATCTTTTTCTAACATGATCTCAGAAGGATGTCATAGACTCCTCAAGCAGTGGGCTGTTGAGATATGGGGCGCACATCACAATTAACTTTGTCTGGAAGGAATAGGGATCTAATGAGAAGATTAAATATCTGGTGAGCATCGATGTCGCCAGCCCTATATACTTGTAGATATATAAGCATATAATATAAATATATTGATAAAGATGGAGGGGAGCGAGAAGGGGGGGGGGGGTGCAGGTAGTGGGGGAAGCAGGTGCCTGAGGGCTCGCAAGCCGCCACAATTAGTGAGGAGTCGCTCCAGTGAAGTGCCTCGCCCCGCCATGTCTGGCTGCTACCTACCAATGCTAATGGCTCTTATGTCTCTGTTGAGGCTTGGGGAGAGAGAGAAAGAGAGAGAGAGAGAGAGAGAGAGAGAGAGAGAGAGAGAGAGAGAGAGAGAGAGAGAGAGAGACACAGACAGAGAGACAGACACAGACACAGAGACAGATATATATATATATATATATATATATGTCGTACCTAGTAGCCAGAACTCACTTCTCAGCCTACTATGCAAGGCCCGATTTGCCTAATAAGCCAAGTTTTCATGAATTAATGTTTTTTCGTCTACCTAACCTACCTAACCTAACCTAACCTAGCTTTTTTTGGCTACCTAACCTAACCTTACCTATATATATAGGTTAGGTTAGGTTAGGTAGGGTTGGTTAGGTTCGGTCATATATCTACGTTAATTTTAACTCCAATAAAAAAAAATTGACCTCATACATAGTGAAAAGGGTAGCTTTATCATTTCATAAGAAAAAAATTATAGTAAATATATTAATTCAGGAAAACTTGGCTTATTAGGCAAATCAGGCCTTGAATAGTAGGCTGAGAAGTGAGTTCTGGCTACTAGGTACGACATATATATATATATATATATATATATATATATATATATATATATATATATGTTGAATAAGACCGAAAGGGTAAGATTAATGATCCTAACACGAACCTTCTCAATATTTCTTACGTTTTTCTTCACTGTCGAGGGTAATTGAAAAATTAACTCTCCAAAGCTCATTTTCTCATTTTTTTATTTATGGTCTGAGGCCTAAAAGAGTTTCGCAAGGACATCTCACATTTTCAAAGATAGGTTTACACATCATTTCATGCTTATATTCGTTTTGGGTGAAGTGACAAAAGAAAAAACACGAATCAATGGGTATAAATTTCATATGAGAACATAAAAATGAAAGTAAATACAGAAGGCCTATTGGCCCATATTTTCTCTTGCTGCTTCTATGTTAGTTCGGGGTCTTGAAGTGGGTAGAATATAGTTGTGTTAATTGGCTGTTGATTGCTGGTGTTGACTTTTTGATGTGTAGTGCCTCGCTGATGTCGAGTCTCCTGCTATCGCTGTCTCTATCGACGATTTCTGTGTTGTTTGTTAACATTTCTCTGGTGATAGTAGTGGGCCAGGCAGGTCTCGCCGGGCCTCACCAGGTACACCTGCCTCAGTAGACCTCCTGGGGTTCATAACACTTGTGCATCTCAAACAGTGAGTCTCATGAGTTACGTGGTGTGTACCAGGTTTGTGTCGTGGGGCGGTGTTGACGATGAGTCTTGTGTTGACGATGAGTGTTGTGTTGACGATGAGTGTTGTGTTGACGATGAGTCTTGTGTTGACGATGAGTGTTGTGTTGACGATGAGTGTTGTGTTGACGATGAGTGTTGTGTTGACGATGAGTGTTGTGTTGACGATGAGTGTTGTGTTGACGATGAGTCATGTGTTGACGATGAGTCTTGTGTTGACGATGAGTCTTGTGTTGACGATGAGTCTTGTGTTGACGATGAGTCTTGTGTTGACGATGAGTCTTGTGTTGACGATGAGTCTTGTGTTGACGATGAGTCTTGTGTTGACGATGAGTCTTGTGTTGACGATGAGTCTTGTGTTGACGATGAGTGTTGTGTTGACGATGAGTCTTGTGTTGACGATGAGTCTTGTGTTGACGATGAGTGTTGTGTTGCAGGTGCCGGAAGAAGAAGTGGCGGGTGGACCTGCCTCAGACCTCAGTCATCATAACCTTCCACAACGAGGCGCGCTCCACCCTTCTCCGCACCGTTGTCAGGTGAGTCACCTGCACCCGCCTGCCTCACCTGGCACCTCCCCTCACTCCTGGGGTGCCTGCCTCACCTGGCACCCCCCCTCACTCCTGGGGTGCCTGCCTCACCTGGCACCCCCCCCCTCACTCCTGGGGTGCCTGCCTCACCTGGCACCTCCCCTCACTCCTGGGGTGCCTGCCTCACCTGGCACCCCCCTCACACCTGGGGTGCCTGCCTCACCTGGCACCTCCCCTCACTCCTGGGGTGCCTGCCTCACCTGGCACCCCCCCCCTCACTCCTGGGGTGCCTGCCTCACCTGGCACCTCCCCTCACACCTGGGGTGCCTGCCTCACCTGGCACCCCCCTCACACCAGGGGTGCCTGCCTCACCTGGCACCCCCTCCCTCACACCTGGGGTGCCTGCCTCACCTGGCACCCCCCTCACACCTGGGGTGCCTGCCTCACCTGGCACCCCCCCCTCACACCTGGGGTGCCTGCCTCACCTGCACCTCCCCTCACTCTTGGGGTGCCTGCCTCACCTGGCACCCCCCTCACACCTGGGGTGCCTGCCTCACCTGGCACCCCCCCTCACACCTGGGGTGCCTGCCTCACCTGGCACCCCCCCCTCACACCTGGGGTGCCTGCCTCACCTGGCACCCCCCTCACACCTGGGGTGCCTGCCTCACCTGGCACCCCCCCTCACACCTGGGGTGCCTGCTTCACCTGGCACCTCCCTCACACCTGGGGTGCCTGCCTCACCTGGCACCCCCCCCCCTCACACCTGGGGTGCCTGCCTCACCTGGCACCCCCCCCTCACACCTGGGGTGCCTGCCTCACCTGGCACCCCCCCCTCACACCTGGGGTGCCTGCCTCACCTGGCACCCCCCCCTCACATCTGGGGTGCCTGCCTCACCTGGCACCCTCCCCACTCACACCTGGGGTGCCTGCCTCACCTGGCACCCCCCCCCTCACACCTGGGGTGCCTGCCTCACCTGGCACCCCTTCCTTACACCTTGGGAGCCTGCCTCACCTGGCACCCCCCCTCACACCTGGGGTGCCTGCCTCACCTGGCACCCCCCTCACACCTGGGGTGCCTGCCTCACCTGGCACCCCCCTCACACCTGGGGTGCCTGCCTCACCTGGCACCCCCTCCCTCACACCTGGGGTGCCTGCCTCACCTGGCACCCCCCCCTCACACCTGGGGTGCCTGCCTCACCTGGCACTCCCCCTCCAACCCATCCTCCGAATTGACAGTACGATTTAATACTAAGTGTAATAAGTACACTTTCTAACTGTCATAACCAGTGCATAATTGCACTTACGGGGCTGTTACATTTACCCAACTCCCTCCCCCGATTTAATTCCCCTCGTTTTCTGTTAAGACACACACAATTTTAGGATGAAATTTTCAATTTCAATTTGCAATACACAAGTTTTAAATATCAAGAATTTTTTTTCTGGTTTATTAAACAATATAGATTTTATACAAAATTTTAAAATATCCTGAGTTATTTTACAATTTATTGATATATTTTAGTTTTGTTTTATTAGTTTTATAAAGCTGTAATATCAATATAGCTATAGGTTAAGTACTAATTGTAATTAAGAAGCAATACAATTATTATCTTCAAAAACTAAGACGGTTAGGTGAGGTTGTGGTTTTCTATTCAGTTTTTTGGGTAAACTCAAATATTCGCAATATATTTGACAGTACGATTTAATACTAAGTGAAAATAAGTACAATTCCTAACTGATATTAATAGTACATAATTGCACTTATTTGTCTCCTTACATTTACCACCCCATTTTTGGAGGACGGGCTGCCCCCTCACACCTGGGGTGCCTGCCTCACCTGGCAACTCCCCTCACTCCTGGGGTGCCTGCCTCACCTGGCACCCCCCTCACACCTGGGGTGCCTGCCTCACCTGGCACCCCCTCCCTCACACCTGGGGTGCCTGCCTCACCTGGCACCCCCTCACACCTGGGGTGCCTGCCTCACCTGGCACCCCCCCTCACACCTGGGGTGCCTGCCTCACCTGGCACCCCCCCTCACACCTGGGGTGCCTGCCTCACCTGGCACCTCCCCTCACTCTTGGGGTGTCTGCCTCACCTGGCACCCCCCCATCACACCTGGGGTGCCTGCCTTACCTGGCACCCCTTCCTCACACCTTGGGAGTCTGCCTCACCTGGCACCCCCCTCACACCTGGGGTGCCTGCCTCATCTGGCACCCCCTCACACCTGGGGTGCCTGCCTCACCTGGCACCCCACCTCACACCAGGGGTGCCTGCCTCACCTGGCACCCCCCTCACACCTGGCGTGCCTGCCTCACCTGGCACCCCCCCTCACACCTGGGGTGCCTACCTCACCTGGCACCCCCCTCACACCTGGGGTGCCTGCCTCACCTGGCACCCCCCTCACACCTGGGGTGCCTGCCTCACCTGGCACCTCCCCTCACACCTGGGGTGCCTGCCTCACCTGGCACCCCCCTCACACCTGGGGTGCCTGCCTCACCTGGCACCCCCTCACACCTGGGGTGCCTGCCTCACCTGGCACCTCCCCTCACACCTGGGGTGCCTGCCTCATCTGGCACCCCCCTCACACCTGGGGTGCCTGCCTCACCTGGCACCCCCTCACACCTGGGGTGCCTGCCTCACCTGGCACCTCCCCTCACTCTTGGGGTGCCTGCCTCACCTGGCGCACCCCATCACACCTGGGGTGCCTGCCTCACCTGCCCCCATAACACCTGGGATACCTGCCTCACCTGGCACCCCCCTCACACCTGGGGTGCCTGCCTCACCTGGCACCCCCCCTCACACCTGGGGTGCCTTCCTCACCTGGCACCCCCCTCACACCTGGGGTGCCTGCCTCACCTGGCACCCCCCCTCACACCTGGGGTGCCTGCCTCACCTGGCACCCCCTCACACCAGGGGTGCCTGCCTCACCTGGCACCCCCCTCACACCTGGGGTGCCTTCCTCACCAGGCACCCCCTCACACCTGGGGTGCCTGCCTCACCTGGCACCCCTCCGCACACCTGGGGTGCCTGCCTCACCTGGCACCCCCCTCACACCTGGGGTGCCTGCCTCACCTGGCACCCCCCTCACACCTGGGGTGCCTGCCTCACCTGGCACCTCCCCTCATTCTTGGGGTGCCTGCCTCACCTGGCACCCTCCCATCACACCTGGGGTGCCTGCCTCACCTGGCACCCCCCATCACACCTGGGGTGCCTGCCTCACCTGGCACCCCTTCCTCACACCTTGGGAGTCTGCCTCACCTGGCACCCCCCCTCCCACCTGGGGTGCCTGCCTCATCTGGCACCCCCTCACACCTGGGGTGCCTGCCTCACCTGGCACCCCACCTCACACCAGGGGTGCCTGCCTCACCTGGCACCCCCCTCACACCTGGCGTGCCTGCCTCACCGGGCACCCCCTCACACCTGGGGTGCCTGCCTCACCTGGCACCCCCCTCACACCTGGGGTGCCTGCCTCACCTGGCACCCCCCCTCCCACCTGGGGTGCCTGCCTCATCTGGCACCCCCTCACACCAGGGGTGCCTGCCTCACCTGGCACCCCCCTCACACCTGGCGTGCCTGCCTCACCTGGCACCCTTCTCACACCTGGGGTGCCTGCCTCACCTGGCACCCCCCTCACACCTGGGGTGCCTGCCTCACCTGGCACCTCCCCTCACACCTGGGGTGCCTGCCTCATCTGGCACCCCCCCTCACACCTGGGGTGCCTGCCTCACCTGGCACCCCCTCACACCTGGGGTGCCTGCCTCACCTGGCACCTCCCCTCACTCTTGGGGTGCCTGCCTCACCTGGCACCCCCCATCACACCTGGGGTGCCTGCCTCACCTGCCCCCATAACACCTGGGATACCTGCCTCACCTGGCACCCCCCATCACAGCTGGGGTGCCTGCCTCACCTGCCCCCATAACACCTGGGATACCTGCCTCACCTGGCACCCCCTCACACCTGGGGTGCCTGCCTCACCTGGCACCCCCCTCACACCTGGGGTGCCTGCCTCACCTGGCACCCCCCCTCACACCTGGGGTGCCTGCCTCACCTGGCACCCCCCCCTCACACCTGGGGTGCCTGCCTTACCTGGCACCCCCCCTCACACTTGGGGTGCCTGCCTCACCTGGCACCCCCCCTCACACCTGGGGTGCCTGCCTCACCTGGCACCCCCCCTCACACCTGGGGTGCCTGCCTCATCTGGCACCCCCCCTCACACCTGGGTTGCCTGCCTCACCTGGCACCCCCCCCTCACACCTGGGGTGCCTTCCTCACCTGGCACCCCCCTCACACCTGGGGTGCCTGCCTCACCTGGCACCCCTCCGCACACCTGGGGTGCCTGCCTCACCTGGCACCCCCCCTCACACTTGGGGTGCCTGCCTCACCTGGCACCCCCCCTCACACTTGGGGTGCCTGCCTCACCTGGCACCCCCCTCACACCTGGGGTGCCTACCTCACCTGGCACCCCCCTCACACCAGGGGTGCCTGCCTCACCTGGCACCCCCCCCCTCACACCTGGGGTACCTACCTCACCTGGCATCCCCCTCACACCAGGGGTGCCTGCCTCACCTGGCACCCCCCCTCACACCTGGGGTGCCTGCCTCACCTGGCTCCCCCTTCACACCCGGGGTGCCTGCCTCACCTGGCACCCCCAGGCACCCCCTCACACCTGGGGTGCCTGCCTCACCTGGCACCCCCTCACACCCGGGGTGCCTGCCTCACCTGACACCCCCCCCTCACACCTGGAGTGCCTGTCACTGACCTCACAGTGAGAGGTGAGGCCGTGACTGTGTACCTCACAGTGAGAGGTGAGGCCGTGACAGTGTACCCTCACAGTGAGAGGTGAGGCCGTGACTGTGTACCTCACAGTGAGAGGTGAGGCCGTGACTGTGTTCCTCACAGTGAGAGGTGAGGCCGTGACTGTGTACCTCACAGTGAGAGGTGAGGCACACATATAATACATGGTGTTATGCAGTATACCTTTCCTCAATATCTGAGGCTCATCTGAAGGGCCC